AAGACTTTCTTCTTTTTGTTAGACTTCTCCATGTATAAGACTTTCTTTTTGGAACAATTGAAATCATTCTTTGTGTGACCAAATTTATTACACTTCCAACAATACATAGTCCTTTTAGGTTGAATTTTTGCTAAACTACTTGTCACAGTTGCAACCTTCTTGTGCTTAGATACATCTATCATGCAAGCTACTGTGTCAATACTATCATGTTAATAAAGTACCTGATTATATTTTTTTAACTTTAGCAAATATTTGTACAAACGTTGTCTTGCCATTATAGTTCAAAATAATTCTGAGTGTGGCTATTTCAATAATCTCTTATTAATCTCAAATAAAAAAATCTTAACAATTTGGTTCTCAACAAATAAAATTCTTGACTCTATTGCAAATTAAGCCAAATGAGTATATGTAGAACATGAAGTATATTATTTTTTATGACAAAATTCTTGAATGTATTGCATTTAATTATGACTAAAATCTCCATGAGTTAAATCTTCTTCCTTCACCATAGGCATTAAGCTTGAGATAGCACCTTCCTAAAGAATTGAAATAAGTTCTATGCATGCCTCTCAATAATGTTCTACTTCTTGCAACTCAAATGAGTGTTCTTTATTCCATTTTTTTATAGGTTAGGAATGTCTTATGTTCTAAGTATTAGCATAAGATCTCAAAGGCATACCACTCATTACAAGTGGGAGATCTTTAATACTTTTTTTCTTATCTAAGTTTAATACTTGAGTCTCTAATTTAATAAAGAAATACCCTTAACTCTTCTTAAAAATTTATCTCTCACCATATTACAAAGATCATCTCCTATCTCTTAAAATATATCCATTACTAAGATCCAAAGCCTTCAAGTGATATCCAATATTGAAACACACTAAAAAACCTTATTAGTATCCATTCCTAGCCCGAAGTCCTCAATGTGGTCACTATCCAAGTAATTTGGTGAAAGAGATTGATATTACTGACTCCTAGTATGCACCATATGTGAGTCATCAAATTGTCTCACTAGTTGTTTTAAGATAAAAAAATACATTTAAAGTACCAAAATTATAATAAATTAAGAATTAAAATATTAATTATAAAAATAGAGTCTTAATAAGTCTTCGAGATAATTATTTTAGTTGATTTAGTATTTTTACTTATTATTGAATATTAAAGATTAATTATCAAGATTAATTTTATCTATATTTATTACTTAAAAAAACTATAAATATTGGTTAATAGTTAAAAGAAGCATAAAAAAGAGCCTCATATCTTTTTAATTATTGATATAAAAAATAGAATTTATAATTGATTTATACTAATTTTATTACTGTAAAAAAGAAATAAGATAAAAAATTATAAAATTAAATTTATATTAAAATTATAAAAATATTATAAAATTTTTTAGAATTTATTTAGAATTTATTTAGAATATTTTAGGAATTTTTAGAGAAAATTTCAAGACTTTGGTAAAAATGAATTCTATCAATTGGAGAGCTATTATGAAGAAATGGAGTAAGATTTGAAGGCCATACAAGGTTTCTAGGCTAATTGGATGTTTTTAAATACCATAATGAAGTCAAAAATGTAAAAATATTAGTTCTACTAGTAAAAAATAGGAGGACTAGTAGCTAATATAGTCCTTGTAAAAAAAGAGGTGCATAAGTTCCATATAGGTTGTAGCACCTTGAGTGTAATTAGAAGGATAAGATTAAGAATTATCGGCCACTTTTAGATACTCTTATATACTACATGTGAGCCTTTGTGAGGCTTAAATCCTTGATCTATAAGCAAGTTATCCTTGAGATAAAATATTTTCACTTAATTTTTTATTTATTTACTTATTATTTTAAAACCTTCATAACTTATTCATAGTAACTTGGATTTAAAAGTTTCTTATACCATTGAAAAGACAATTCATATATATATATATATATATATATATATATATTTTACTTTTAATTTTTAATTTTTATTAGATAAAAATTCAGTAAATAGACTATGTCTAAGTTTTGAATTGTGTAAAATTTCTCAATTTCATTTATTTCATTTTTTTGTATTTATTCTTCTTTTTTCTTGCTATTTGCTTCTTTTACTTCTTACCACCAATTACAAGCAACTCTTAATTGAAGCCATCTTGTAATTTAGGTTGAAAGGTGAAATTTACCTTCACACCATAACAAAGACTATTTGGATACATGTAACTATCTAAAGGCCAAAAGATCAATTTAGATCTGCAAAGATTATTAAGCTTTGCAGTTCATTGGCAATTACTTCCAGATCACTATAAGTCTAATGTATCCACAAACAAAAGGATCTTACAATTACTTTAATCTTATAACTACACAACCATATCACTATTCTTTTGTGATAATGTGATGCAAATTGCCTTTGCTTATTACCACAAGTCACTAACTACTGCCATAAGCCACCGCAGATCTTTGTTGTTTTTCACATGATTTTTGTACCAAACCACTATGTTGTACCATTTTCTCACCAAACACCAAATAGTAGTACCTTTCAAAATCAAAAATATCTCTTCAAGATTTAGCTGAATAAACCAACTCTACTTATCAATTGCAAACATTCAAAGTTTCAAATCAAAGACCGCAAAAAGTAAGCTATAAGGCACCAAAACAAAAACAAGATGTAAAGAGCATATTGAAGCAATTTTAAGAAACTTGTCTATTGCAACAACAAACTACTATGCTTCTACCTCATACAATCTAATGTTGTAACTATGCATAGGCTTCTACCTTGTACAATCCGCTGCCACTATAGTCATATCTTCTTACAACCCTCATGTGCACTGCAATCTATTGTTCATACTACAACTCGTTTCGATGTATTCATGTGCAACCTTATGCCTTATATGCAACCATATACCTTGTACCTTGTTATTGCATAGTATATCAGACTTGATAATACTTAATATTGTAACAATGATTCCTTACTATATTGTATTCTAATACAATGGCCTATTTGGGTTCCAGCACCCAACACAATAGTGTCTAAAATCTAGTAGCAAAAACAATCATAATTTATTTTTTTATAATTTTTTTTTAAGGTCTACTTCATTTTAACTTGCTATACTACAAATTAAAGAAAAGAAGAGATTTATTTCAAGTGAAAGATTAGAAATCTATACCAAACTAAATCAAACTATTTCTTATACAACAAAAGAGGAATCTAAGAGTGTAAGTGTAAAAATAGAAAAAATCCTAAACTTTATTAAAATAGCTAAATCACCATAGTCAAGCAAAAACTTATTACAAATTCTCTTTGTCAAAAATCTCTCATAAGATTTCACTTGACAAGAATGTCAAGCCAAGAGATATTTTCTACCTAAGTATTTAAACTCTAGTTGATATTAATAAAATTAATTAATAAAAAAATTATTAATGGATGAAAAATCAAAAAAAAAACTAAACTATATATATATATGATGGGATTTAGCATGTGATGCCATATCATGTGATATATTGATAGTAAATTTTAATAAATTTTAAACTTATTTTTTTTTTGATATAATCAAAAATAAAGAAAGTTAAATAGATCCAAGTTTTTACTACATATCTACCCATCTTAACCATCATGAAAAAAATAATAACTTCTAAAATTCATTTTTCCACTATTAGATCTACAACCAATACAAACCAACCACATTCATCATGATTATCATATTTTTCATTAAAAGTAGGTCTATTTAGTAAAATCATGGATCTATTTAAAATTCTCCTCAATTTAATCTATTAATAATATTATAATATTTATATTATTAATATATTAAATAAAAAATCAATTTTTTAAAACCAATTATTAAAAAAATATTATAATAGAATATTCTTATTATATAATAGATTTTTAAAATAAAAATAAGTAGTAGAGATCAATAAGTATTTTTATAACATTGAATATTTTATAAAAATTGACCAAAATCAACTAAATGAGCATTAAAAAAATTGGATGTTTAAAAATTAATATCAAAATAATGAAGAAGATTTAATTGAAAATAAATACTTTTATTTTGAATAGAATATATATATATATATATATATATATACATACATATATGATTTTGCCTCTAATCTAGTTCTAAAAAAAATTAAGAATTATTTGTAAAAAATATGTATTTAAATAAGGTGGCATAGATTTCTAGCTTGTATCTGTTTTGAGATATATAACATATTTTAGTAATTACAAATAGAATAAAAATTTCTTATATATATATATAAAAAAACTATTATGTATTTTGAATATTTAAATCCATTCTCTGCATTAAAATTCTCTTGTTTCAAAGATGCAATAGTTGATGAAAGAGAAAGACCTAACTGTATTGTGGAGTATCAGTAACAAAAAGGCTATCGATGGCACTCGTAACATCTACAACCATTTTCATTTTAGAAATAAATAGAGTGAAAAATAAAAAAATAAATATTCAAACATAATTCACGTAAAAATGACGTAGTTCTTCAAATAGAAAAAAATCATTGGCAAATAGTGAAGTACGTTCATTGCGATTTCTTACAGTAAACCAAACATACTAAACCATCAGCGCAGTTCTACACTGCATTGGAACCGAATCCACTAGAAGTCATGGCTACTGCCCACAAGTTGCATTCAGGGATGTAAAAGGCAAGCAACATTCTACACCAAAGCTGGTAATGTGATCAAATCTTCATGAGGAACTGTTGTCAGTGAACAAACATAATCTAGGTTACTGCGGCCCTCCGAATATGTATATGTCTATATATATATATATAACCACATATTTATGCGCGCACATATATATATATATATATATATATATAGATAACCATATATAACTATATATAACCATATATAACCATATATTTATGGAAGCACATGATATACAGCCATCTTCCACAAGCCAACCGACAGTGCGTGAGAGTATGTTCAAAACTGCAAAGGAACTGCGCCGCGAAGAGAAAGTCTACTGCAACCTGCCTCTTCACATGAATATTAAGTTCATGTCCCATTTGATCAGATGTGTATCGATGAAGTTGGTGCCTGATGTTAACGGCCTAACTGCCAGTGTCCCTTGGCACGACATCGTTGTAAACTGCAGCGATGACCTGCACCGCATATTAATGCCTGATCTTAACTGTAATCAAGGAGCCTGAGAGTGTTCAGTAGGCTGAATCTAGAAGCTAACGATGGAGCTCGACGACCGCGAACTCAGTGGTTTGATGGCCGCAGATAATGAAGGCATGAAAGACATCGGAGTCTAGGTCCACGTGCTTGGTGTAGAAACAGTACCGTGTCGAGGTGAATCTTCAGCAACATCTGGAGTTGCAATGGCGCGAAGATGTTTGCTCACGTCAAAGAGATCTGATTCCAGTTGTGGGATTTCCTTAGACCTCTTTCGTCTTTCGACTTTTTTGGGGTAGTCGGTCTGGTTTTGGTTTTGTGCTTCCACCTGATCGGCCGCTACAGCCTTGCGTGATACTTTTGATCTGCTTGTTGTCAGCAGCTGCACGTTGAGCCCACTTGCTGCTCTGAGGGGAAAATTCAAGAGTGCACGTGATCCACGGAGTCTCAGAGCCGCATCGTCGTATGCGAGTGCCGCTTCTTCTGCCGTGTCGAAAGTCCCCAGCCATAAGTGCGATCCAGGTCGGCTGGAATCGCGAATCTCGGCTGCGTACCTACCCCAAGTCCGCCGCCTCACGCCCCTGTAATGCTGCAGATTAGCCTGCCTCGGCCTACCTGTCTTCCGACACCTGGAGGCACTGTTGGGGTTCTTTCTCGTCTTCAGTGCAGGGACAGTGCAGGTCATACGGCGGGTCTCCATGGTCGAGGATGCGACAGATTCCGATACGTATACTGGCTCTTCTGTCGCTGCGATGGACTGTGAGTTCGACGTCAGCTCTTTCTCAGGATTTTTTGCGGGGAAAGCCACATCACCTGCACTGCGGTTTGGTGAGAGACGCGCCCAACCATTCTCGATGGATTTCACAAGGATCATGTCGTCGACGTCGCTTTTGTTGTAGGAGGAATCGCTATCATAGTGGCCGCGAGGCAGTGGATTGCACATGTTTGGTCCACTCAGGTTGTTGCAAAGCACACGCTTGTTACTCCAAGGGCTGGAAGGACGCGAGAACATACTTTCAAGGTCGCCGAATATCAAAGATTTGGTGTCTTTGTCCAAGTGACCAGGGAGTGCAATTGTGAGAGGACGGGTGGACCGGCATTTTGGTGACTCAGACTTGCTCGCGCTCCCGTGGGACGATAATGAGCCAAAACGATGAAATTTCCTTGGCAGCGCGGAATTCTCCTCGTCATTGCTGTCCCCAAAAAAGTTTTTGAAGGACAATCCCCATTCATAATCCTGCACGTTGTTGTTGCATGCTTCGGCGAAACTGGTTAACATCTGCATGGTTTCTTCCATTTCGGATGCCGAAGGGCTTCTAAGCAACAAGTTGAGAAAATCCACCAAGCTGCCCTCGGTCTCTCCCCTCCACGCCAGTGCTCGGTTAACTAGTGCACGTAAAGCTCAAAATCCAACTTCGTATAAATATATGTGTGCCCCAATTATAACAAATTCAGGTTAGCCGAAGCTCCTCCAAAACTTGTTTCCGGGAGTAAAGTCTCCGCAACCACATGTTTAAACCTCCTGGACAATGTGTTAATCTGTCTACCTGGTGCATGTAAAAATCAATCAGCCTTAAAACTTGGCACAAGTTTTCACAACCTCTAGCAAGATATTCTAACGCTCAACATTGCTCCTCGCCTCTACCACACAGGTTACCAATGTGAGTTGACGTACAGAAATGGCAAGATCCAACCTGAGTGCTCAGCGTATGAGGCAAGAAGCTGCGGAATTGCAAAAAGGTTACAAAGAAGTTCGTATCCAGGTTTGTTACTTATACGAAATTTATTGTGGTCTCAGGTAGTCTCAGGTGGTTGATGCGGACCAAGGGCATCATCTGCTGACAGATTATGGACTTCCGAAGCTTTTGGTCTTAAAGCAAATCTCCACGAACCATAGCAATTAAACTCGCACTCTTTTCGCACACACAACGTCAACCATATCTGCATACGTCAGCAAATGGCTTCAATGTCATTTGTTCGCAGCATTGTTCGCTTATCTGGCGTCATCTCAGGCCAAAAGGTGTGGAGAACATATTATTCTTCTCCTGACCTGTTGGCCCAAGTCGAGTATTTCACGTACACGTAGGACGATAACTTTGACTTCGCGCTTCTAGTTGATCGAGAACTAGATCAATGAACGGCTTTCTTGACTCACCGGGTGATTCGCCATGGATGCCTCTGCCTTTCAAGGCGTTAACAAACCAGAGCACGTGACCTACATGATCAGAGGAACAGACTAACACAAACATCACCAACGACCCACTCTTTAATTAGTTGAAGAACCTTCACAACAACACATAACAGTGATTCGTACCACTACTTTAGAAACAGTAAAAGAATTTACAAGGTCGAAAAGTCTTCCTTCGCGCCGAGAGCTTACTGTGTTGTCCCTTGGTTCAGTTTAGGAGCGCTGGCCGAGTTCGTTTTTTTCCACCTGAATTTTCTGGCATATTCAAGTGTTCATTCTGTGAGCTGCAAGATACTCATACACACAGTGCCCGACGAATCATCCCAACTAGTATTAAATCCTGTTTTGCGCTGCAGGGGAACATTATTTCTCCCCAGCGCGAATGTCAACACTAGCATCAGACTGAAGAAAAGAGAATATCATGCCACGAACTCATTCGAAGCAACACGAAGTCAACACGAAGTCAATGATTCTAAGAGCTTCGAAGGCGGCCCAGCATCAGGGTTAAAATACTCCAACTGTGACGTGCATTCGGTGCCAAATCTCGGACTCATCGATGAACCCTTCCATTTAGTCAGATGGTCACATTCCTCGATTGCTAAAAAATATCCTAAAAGATGTCCAAGGATGATTTCTAAATTTTGTTTACTTTGCGTAGTTAATTCGTTTTTCTGTTTTTTCCTGTTTTTTAAGGAAAAATAAGGTTGTAGATAATAAATGCTTTACAGGGTCCTTATTTAGAGAATTAATATTTCTGATAGCTACTTTTTATTTTTGGCCTTGAGTGTTTATCTTCTACGATTACTTTGTACCTCTTATCACAGTACATTAATGAAGAATTCTGTTATAATATGATACACGAAGTTAAAAGTACATTTAAAATGTGTTTTTACTACACTTTAATGTGTAATATTAAAATCATGACAAGAATAATAAAAAAAGAATCATTAAGGCGCAAGGCAACATCTTATTTTGTCGTCTATTGGTTGAAGTATTCAAATAAAATATAAAAATCCATGAATACTAAATGATACACAATAAATGGACCATTTTCAATCAAAAAAGAGGAAAAAACAGAAACTACTGAAAGTGGCATATTCTCGATAGGTGTAGAGAACTGTACAATGTGAACACAAAACTGTTTAAACAATTAAATAATACTGTTTACAAGATGCTGTTGAGGGCCTTTCAAACTGAGGACTACAAGAAGTCAATTTCTCCAAAGGAGTATCATTTTACATTTGATAGCATTCCTCAGTAATGGATAGCCTTTATTCTTTTGACATTTCATCAAATCAGGATACTGATTTCATGAATGGAGTCATGAAAAGCGTACAAACAAAAAGAGAGAGAAAAAAAAAAAAAAAAAAAAAAAAAAAAAAAGGGTATTCTACAAGTGCAACATCAACTCATGATCCACGTAAGCCTCTCAAACACACGTGTCACAAAGTTCCTCCTTCAACTTAATTTCTGAGAAATCTATAATCTATTACCTTCCAAAAGAGTGTTTGGGAAGGATTCTCAAGAAGGTTGTAAGCATAACTGGTCGATGTTTATAACGCCTAGACAAAGAAGAGGCTTAATTAGAATACGAATGATGTAACATAATTCGGAACTTAGAATTCTGGACTCTGCAGAATCGACTGATTGCTGCATCAGGTTTTTCTTTCAATACAAAAAAGATGAGTCACACACTCTCCACGTCACGTACAATAACAGATTAATTCATGGAATACGGCACATTGGTTTTTGGCCAGATATATCAATCGATTGCCACTTTCATTCCATACAAAAGTTCAACACTGGTGTAGCTAGCATTCGGAGATTCCAGGAGCAATCACTAATTGGAATAGCAATAGCACAAGACGCCAAGATCACGTAACTGATGCTGAACAAGTTCAATAAAAATGAAAGACTGCAACAAAAAAATAAAAACAAAGGAATCACAAATTTCTGTTCTAGAAAAGGAGCACATTATTCACCTCAAGACAGAATGCTTTCCAGTCAAACGTGGAAGCCTCTCATGGCTGGAGGTTTGATCATTATCATAACGTCTTACCCGGTCAAACTCTTTACATGCTAACACAATGGAATCTAAACTCTACTGGTGCTAACTTACAAGAAGCTGGCACACTTGCAGCAAGCAGCAGTGTCTAGTCATGAAAGGACATGTACTGTAGACTGCTCACATGTCACCAGAAAGAGCTGGCAAAAGTTATCAAATCCTCGTACCTCTAATGCACTTATAAAAGACTCGAGAACAAATCCACAAGGAACTCGATTTAAATGGGTGTGCAAAATAATAAGGGCATGCAAAAAATGAGATATTAACCGATCAATACCTGTAGTGACATTTGTCTCCTGCCTAGAGTAATAATCAGGCCACTAATAGATGTAATACATGGGGTTAGGCAACTTGAAGGTACGCTTGCCAGCGCTCTCCCCTGAGCAGTCGCTCCACTGGTCACCCAAACAGCTCTTGATGCGGTAGCCCTCCTCTTCCAACCTTTTCCGGTGCTTGGACTTGTACTCATCCGCAGTTAAGTTCTCCTCGTCTGGTAATCTGCATTCAAAAGAGTAGTGAGCAAAACTTGGTACCAAAAGGCTGATTAGGATGCAAAAGTAAGCATGAAACCACGTATCTACACAACAATCTGAAAAGTGACAATCGTTTGGAAGCAGAGGTAGAGATGGCATCACATCTAACACAACGTAAGCATGAACCACGCAATTAACGTTCACGATTTGAAGAAATCAAAACCCTCTCTTGCTAAGAGTTATACTTGCAGAAGGTTTGCAAACCTGCTGGACCAAAACCGTGATCTCAAGCACACAATAAGCCAAAACTTAGACATTACTGACCTTAAGACGAGGGTTTTCCAGCCTGTATACCCAGTATCATACAGGTTCTGGGCAGTCTTGTTGTACTGTGACTTTGATCTTCCTGTGATAAAGGCAAAACTCCAATTCTGAGCCCGAAAGTCTGTGTACAGGGACAACATTGCATCTAATGCTGGGGCGCTCGCATTGTTCACCCATGCGTTCCAGGTTTCTCCATTAAATGTTTCGACTCTGAACAATCAAATATGAAAGCTTCAGCAAGGAGCAGCAATATGAAGTCTTGCCCTAAGTTTGATATTTGGTAAACCTTCCGGTAAAAAGGAGGAAATAGAAAAATTTCGGACCAACGTAATTAATAATGGTAATAATAATAACTGATAATAAAGTGTTAGACTATTCTAGTACATAAAGTATAAGAAGGCTAACCCATAATGGTGATCGACGTAGTAGGGCATATTCGACAAGGCTGTTTCATCAATGTCCAACACGATGAGGTCCTTCCCATCTTGATCTGCCTCGATTGTGTTTAAATACGTTCTAGCAGCTTCGATCGCCACCGCAAAATCAGAGTGGTATTGACCAGAGTTAACATATCCAGCAACATAACCTTCACATTCCTGAGGAAGCAAATAGCCCTGCAAATTGTTCATCTCGGTATTGAAAGCAAAACTCGCACAGGCATTTGACAGAGGCTTCTTCTGACATTTGCCTAACATCACAGCGAGGGTGACGACGAGTGTAAAAAGAATGATCCCAATGGTAGCCATGACGCCCGTCAGGACAGTGACCGCAACAGATGAAAGGTAGACCCCGAGATCATCTACTTGGACATACGCGTTCCCAAAGCCATATCTGCTCCCATACACTGCACACTCCAAGTTGAATACAAAGATGGTGATTAGAGATCTTTGGATGGGTACTATGTCACAGCAGCCGTAACACAAGCTGATTACATTCACATTAAGAAATACAACCCTACAATTGCGTAGCTAGCAAAACTAAAACATAACATGTCCAACTCACGCCCTTGCCACTCACAGTCTAGACCTGCCGCCCATAAAGCTGTATCATGTAGAGAACAGGTAATAATTATATTTTGGAACTGTTTTTTTCGCAGCAAGGTGTGGGGAGGGGGTAATCACTTCTCATTCCTGGAACTTAATATGTACCATGTCTTCCAACGAGAATTATCCCAGTGTTAGACTACTTAACCACTTTATTGCTACTGAATCGGTGCATTTGTTCCTCCACGTCACACAGTTAACCAAATAGCTACATTTGCCAGGATTTTAAAACGAATCAGATAAGTCACCGGCGGCCGTTCTTGCGCCACTAGAAAAGAGGGGAATTCGAAATGGACAAAAAAAGAAAAGGATACAGCTGAGTAACAATGCACAAACCTCTGATGGTTAGCGGAAAAAGCAAGGAATTACATACTTGAGTCTCGTCGGCTGCCAAGGAGCGACTCCCTGGAACCCATTCTGCTCCCGAGCACAGAATTACCGGGAGATCTCCCAGCCTCAAGCTCATTATCTGTTCCGTAGCTGAACGACCTGGGCAAGGATGAGGATGACAGCACGTCAGAGGCCGAGGCTGAGGCTGAAGACGGGTAGCCTTCGCCTGAGGGTCCATCGCCTGCTCCCACCATCCCTGACCGAATGCTTGATGACGAAGCTTGGAGGATGTGTTCAGTGTGCCCGTAACCCTGATTAATGCAGCACCTGCCCTCCTAAAGACTGAGTTCGAATATGATTCGTCGTTCAGCACGAGATTCAGAAGATATTTCCCTCCATCGCACCACAAACCCTACTAGGTGAAATTTCCAACAAACAAGCGGAAGGCATTTAAAATTCCCAGAGCAAATTTAGTCTCAAATTAGCCACTGCACGAATTGCCCATAATGCTCATTGCTGGGCTCAGCCTAGATGTAGATCTGCAGCAAAACAGATGACCAGAAGAGATTATTACCACACAGTCTCAACGAACTACAGCAGAAGATACTTCAAGGAAATAGCTGCAGCGAAGGAGAAGATCCATTATTCTCGCGATGCAAAACTCGTGAGGATTGCGAAGTAATCAAGCTTGAAACTTACGCGCACAGCCTTCTCAGCTCTGCTAGCTGCGTGAAGCTGAAAATGGCATACACAACCAAGCTAAGTGTCGCTCATTTCAGTCCTCACTCAAGCCATCCCAAGGGTAGGTCCAACAAAGTAAACCAACCTCGCGCCACACAATCAATGCAATGACTCTCCGCAACTCCCCGTTACACGCGAAACATTCTCTTCCGAGCACGGCATCCAGATCGAGAACAAAAGATAAAACATAAAAATAAAAATTGCAGCAAAATCACACAAATCACAGAAAAACCAACAACACCCCACCTTCTTCAAAATCAAACCACAACTCCAGACCATTGCAATCCTCGCAAACACCACCCCGAAATCAAAGACAAGGGACCCAACTGGTTGAATCTCAAGTTTTCGACGAGGAGCCGTGATCTTCACTGCGTGTAAGAACGAGATTCCTCACTGACTTCGGATCACGTATAGAAGCGGAATGTGGTGTATTGCATTGCACAGAAATGCGTTTTCTAGAGGTGACCGAAGAGACTTGAAGAACACATGAGCAAGGACGGAGAGAGGATAATGCGCGGAGTTGGGGATTGAAGTGTGTGTTGCGTGGTCCCAAGAAACACAATGGTGGATTGAAAGCTAAGGCTGCTTTACACCACCGCAGACAGAAAGAGGAAAGCAACAAGGCCAGAAATACATGAGAGAGAGTGTGTATATATATAGATATATATTCTGTGAAAAAGTTGGGACCTGTGAGATTGTCCTTAGGGGATTCATCAGCGATCCAAGTATCACCAAACAAAAACAGAAAGGGTAAAGATTGTCCTTAGGGGATTCATCAGCGATCCAAGTATCACCAAACAAAAACAGAAAGGGTGAAGAGATGGATAAGACGATGAAATGATCTTCTTTGCGATTCTTCTCTTTTCTTTTCACTTTTCTTTTCTTTCCTTTCACAGAAATGCAGAAAAAAAGAAATTCAAAGGTAAATTTGTCTCGTACTATGCTTGAGAATGATGTTCCGTCTGATTATTTAGTGGGAATCTCTTTTATTCTGAAACGTCAATTGTACATGCTATTGTTGTTTTGCTGCTTAGGTGTTCAATGTGAACTCTTAAGAGTCATGTCTACTGTTCTCAGTGACTTTTCAGATTCTATTAAAATCACTTTAGTATTGCACATTTGTAAATGATAGTTGTTGTTGTTGAGAGCATTAAATGTAGCCAGTGTTCTCCATAATATTTATTGTAGACTATAGTAAATACCATAGCTACAATATTTAGAGTCTAGTAGAGAAGAAGTGTTCATCCTCTCTCATTTCTCTTCTTGTATATGAAACACAACCAGATCAATAGATTTTTATGTATGAAGCTCTCTCTCCTTAGAAACCCTCTTGTATGTATGACTTACTACTACTCTTGTGTGTGTATATTACTTACTATTACTCTTATGTCTTTCTAAACATTCTCAACACATTATCAGCACAACTCTCTTCTACTTACTATCACAATTTTTTTTGTTCTAGTCTTGACTCTTCAAAACTGATGCTACTCTTGCTCAATGTTTGCCTCATGATCTTGTTGCTCTTCTTGGTGGCCCCTCACACATTAGTTGCTTGCTTAGAGCACTTATTCTATTCTCTACCCTACTTGCTTAGAATACTTGATCTAGTCTACCTCAATCTTAGCTTGCTCCGTGCTATGCCCCATGCCTGTCGCCAAACAACCTCTGAACAGATGTCAAATTGCTGCCAACTCCACCACTACCACCCTACCATTCACCCTACCGCTACTATCGCTGCCGCCCGCCGCTACTCCTATTGCCCATCGCCACCGCCTTGCCACCGTTGTCGTGTTGTAACACGAGTATACAGTGAAAATAAAAAGAAAGGGGAATTTTATTAATATTCAGTTACCTCGAATATTGGGAGCATCGACCAACTCCAGTACAAATACTGAGTGGTTAGGTTCAGTCACTCCGTTACAGTCAGCCGGGGCATACTGAAATGCTCCGTTCGATTCCAATAACGGGAGTCAGCAGGAAGAGAAGGACCAATTCACACGACGGGTTCGAGGAGCCAATTGGATCCAATTTCGATAATCCAATCCGGGTCCTCTTATCCAATATGAGACCTGAATTGGTCGGGCGACTCAATGTGGTCTAATTACGGGAAATCCAGGTCTTACTATGGGTCTTAGCCAATCTGACGCGAGGACCAATTTGACCCAATTACGGGAACATCCAGGTTACTACGGGCATCTTTCCCAATATAGGACCTGAATTGGTCGGGCGACTCAATGTGGTCCCGATTACGGGGTTCGATTTTGTTTCAGGCTGTCCTGTTCTCTGTGCCATTTCAGGGAACGTTGTTTTCGGTAAATGGATTTCTTAAAGGTAAAAACGGAGGAGAAAGCTTGACGGCGAGAGCCAATTTCGGATCCAAGCTTGAGGTGGGAGCCAATTCCGGATCTAAGACGGAAGATTGAAGAAATTCAGAGGATAAGGTTAGGGGGGATATAGTTTTGAGGGGGGGGTTTTTTTTTCAGGGGAATCGGGGGGGAAGCGAGTTTTCAAGCTTTTGCAAGGTTACCAGTTCGGTTTTCATTGGAGGTTTTTTGAAGATCAAGGGAATTAGAGAGAGAGGAGCTTCATGCTTCGGGTCGGGGAAGGAAAGAGATAGAATTTGGATTTTTCTTCTTTGTAGAGTTTTGGGAAGACTGAGGCAATCGCTGCTGAAGTCAGTGTTGTAATGGTGAATCGTGATTTTTAAATGAAGTGGGTTTGAATACTCTTGACTGTTTTGTAAAATCGAGTTACATCTGTGATTGAAGGATTAAAGGGGTGTCTATAGGATTGAGTATGCGGAGTGAATGAAATTTATTGGGTTAATCTAATAGGACAATCAGTGGATACAAGATCGTAAGTACAAAGGGGTATTGAAGATTAACAGTTTGGGTTGTTCGGGGTTCTCTGTAACGTCTAGAGATCTATCGGCTGGGGCAAAAAAAAGACTTCCACAAGCAGTCGAAGAGCATCCATATAGATTTACGGTACATTGTTGCAGTCGTTTATATTCCAGCAGTCAAAAACTGATAGACTGCTTGACTATCGGCGAATCTCCATACTACCTTCTACAGCCAGACGCCCGGCGCGTTCTCGAGCAGGAAAGCACGTAATACGACACCGTTGCCGCAGTTGCTCGTGATCGCCGCCTTCCCGCCGCCGCTTCTGCTTGTTGCTACTATCCTACTATTGTTCTGCTGCCTTAATCTACAATTTCCTTAAAAAAAAAATAAAAAAATAAAAAATAATAATATTTTTATTTTTCAAGTTCAAGTTTATCATTTTATTTGACTTTATATTTTAAGGTACATTTTACTCAATTTTTCTACTTGATCTTGTATTTTCTTTACAAATTTATTTATAATGAATGCTTCAACATCTTCCACTGCTTCTACTATAGTTCCAATTATTATTAGTACATCCAAATATTTTTAAGCTCTTTTATTTCCACCATTGACTATGGATAGAAATAATTATCTATTATGGACAAAAATGACAAAAGCAAATTTATTTGCAGAACAACTCTCGGATGCCATTATGTTTGAAGAATCTCATACAATAAGTATTTATATTCCTCTTGCTATTCGTTGAAAAGCACTTCTTGTCCTTCATTGTCATCTTGTACTTGTATTATAACATCAATATTTGGAAATGGAAGATCTTATAGAACTTTGGAAGAATCTTAAATCTAGGTTTGATCATCAAAAGACCATTTTCCTTCCACGTGCACGTCATAATTGGACATCTTTATGTATCTTGGATTTTCCAAAATTAAATGCTTTCAATAGTGAAATATATAGTATTGTCTCACTATTACGATTATGTGGACAAAGCATCTTTGAAGAAGAAATGATTGAGAAAACTCTCTCTACATTTCCTCCTGTATCTGCTGTGCTTGCATAACAATACAGAAACATGAAATTTTAGAGTCATTCTGATCTCATGTCCTATCTACTTCTTGCAGAGAAGAAAAATGAGCTACTCTTGCACAATGTGGAAGCTCATCCTATTGGAACTACAGTTCTAGAATCTCATGCACTTAATATTTCAAAGTCTAAGAAAAAATTATATAAACATGGAAAACGTGCTCATAAGTATCAAGGTAGTTATAATCATGACTATTTCTATCCATATAGAAAGAATAAATATTCTACTATTAATTATAGTAGAAAATAAAAATTAGAGATGCATTCTTACCATAAACGTGGAATGATTGGATATTTAGCACATACGTGCTATACTTCAGAATATTTTATTAAAAAATTCCAAGAAAATAAGAAACTACAAGCTGAGGCTCGTGAAGTTCATACCATAGATGCATCGATGGATTCAATTGGTATTGATGATGTAGAGGCTTATATGAATGACAAAACCTCTAATAATGAATCATATGATGCGCTCATTGATTCTGCAATAACACATACTATCTTGCGAGATAGAAAATTTTTTATTGAAAAATCTTTAACTTGGCAAACTAAAAATATGATGACTATGGCTATAACAAATGTGTTTTGTTTCTAAGAGAGCACAGCAATGATAAAATTACCTGCGGGTTCCATCATAAAATATAAACCATTTTCTATATGTTTACATTTTATGATGGAACAACAGAAAATGGTTTATACCGAATTGTGATTTGGCCTCCTATTATATTTAATTTTCCATCATCTATCACAGAGAGCCGTGTTTCTCTTTGGCATGGATAATTGGAACATCCAGGATCTACATTATTTAGAAAGATCATTCCATGTATAACTCGACACAATTTAAAGCCTATGGATGTAGACTCTATAGAATTATGTCGTGCATGCATGCAAGGTAAAATGATTACTCGGCCTTCAATTTAAAAACTCCCACAAGAATTACCACCAATGCTTGAAAGATTACATGGTGATATTTGTCGTCCTATTAATCCAATATTGAGTCCATTTGATTATTTTTTGGTCCTTGTTGATGCATCAGATAAACAATCAAATATTTTATTATTATCATTTTGAAACATAGTGTTTGTCAATCTTATATCTATGCTTACTTGTTTTTGGGCACATTTTCTTGATTATCCTATAAAAACATTATGTATGAATTATGCAAAAGAATTCGCATCAAAGTCTTTTGAAGACTATTGCATTGCAACAGGAATTGAGTTGACATATTGTGTTCCATATGAACATGCTCAAAATAGACTTGCAGAGTCATTTATAAAGTATATACAACTCATTATCCGATCACTCTTCCTTCACATAAATTTATTTGCATTTGTGTAGAGTCATGTAGTTATACATGCTACAGCATGTCACGGACATACTCATGTAAGCCAATAATTACATATATAAATAGATAGAAGTAAGTAAAAGTAGATAAAAGTAAATTAATTCTATAGTAATTGATATGGAAGCTTCTTAGAAGCTTCATAGACGTTGCTTTGACTTCATAGGTATCTTTAATTGAATTTTTGGATTAGAAACGTAATCAACAAGTTGGCCATGTGCCATACATGTTGTTAGCTTGAAGACCAAGCTAACTATATGGCCCACATATAGAAAAACTTGCCTTGTAAGTCAAGGCATGTTTCCTACAAAGTCAACACATATTGGAGGTCCTATAGAACGTTGCCACGTAGCCTCTAGTTAGATAGTAT